CAGCAGCCGCCCCCGTCGCCCCGAAGCCGGCGTGGACATGGGCGCGCGGAGCTGCGCGCCGGGCCGCGGGACCCGCAAAGTTTGCTAGCCCGCTGGGCGCGGAGCCGAGGTCACGCCCGAGCCCGGCGCCCCTGGGAGGGACCGAGAGTCCCTGGATTGGGCGCCAGGGCAGTGGAGCCGAGAGGGGTGGCTCGGCCCCGCCAGATGCCGCCTGCAAAGTTAGACAGAAGAAAACTTCAGCTCCAGGGAGATTCGGACCGCTATGCTAACTGCGACCCCCCGAACCCGCGCCCCTGAAGGAACCCTGGCACCCGCGTCTGCCGCCGCGCTCGGCTCGGGCCCGGCCCCGGGGGCACGGCGCCTGGAACAGCGGTGACTGCGTCCGCCCAGAGAACCCAACGAGGGGGCGGGGAGGGGGCGGAGGGCGGGCAACGTGGCCACGGGAGGAAGTTTCCTGAAGTTGTCCTTTTATTCCGGAGCTCGGCCCGCGACTCGGCCGGATCACGGAGACCGCCCTGCCTGGGAGAAGAAGTCGGAGTTGGGGTGCTGAGGGAGGGAGGCGCCCCGACTCCGAGAGCGCGGCTTCTCCTCTTTCTCTTTGCTCGCCCCTCGCCTTCCGGGCGCGCCGCGGGATCGGACTCAGACAGAAAAGGAGGAGAAAGGGTTGGGGTCGCCTGAACTGCTCCTCCCAGGCATATACCGCCCCGGGCCAGAGCCGCGTAGACTCTCCCCGGGCGAAGCCGCGGAGTACCGGACCCCGCAAGGATTATAAAACAGTGCGGAGGACCCCCGCCCGCCAGGCTGGTCACCATGTGGGGGCCGCTGATCTGGACTCTGCTGGCCCTGTACCGGATCCGCGCGGCCGGAGCCCAAGGTACGCAGGGCCACCCCAACGTTGGGCTGGGGAGGGGGCTAAGGAGGAAGGGGTGGCGGGAGCTCGCTGGCCTCGGGGTGGCCTCCTGGACGTCTGGCTTAGCCCTCTTCAGGGAGTTTCAGGATCCCATCCCCGAGTTTCACGGGGTGGGGCAGTCTTTCCGAGAGACTTGTGGCTTCCGAATGGGGGGAAGGTGGGGGTCCGTGCTGGGAGGCGTCGCCCAGACAGGCTGAGAAGCGCCCAAGATGAGGTGGGGCGTCGCTACCCCCCTACACCCACTGTGGGTGCCCTCGGGCCGGCGTGGGAGAGGCGAGCCATTCCGTGCCGGGCTCGGCACCCGCTCCCCCGAGCTCCTCAGGTCGGGCTCCGGTTCCCCGCTCGGTGTCCGCGGGGAAGGGCAGGCCCTGCCGTGCAGGCGCTGGCCCCGGGGCCAGGGAGTGGGGCGGGAGGGCGCGAGGAAGGAGCCCGAGTCGGGCGCTGGGTGCCGGTTGGTCGTTCCGGGAGGGCAATTGCCCGGCCTGGCCGCGTACCGGAGCCCGCGCCTGGCTGCCTGGCCGGCCGCTGGGGCTGGGGGCGCTTCGCGGTGCGGGCCTGGAGCCGATGTCGCGGGTGCTGCTCCGGACCCACCGGGGCGTGGTGCAGAGGGAGGGTCTGAGGTCCTCTCACCTCCCACCCTCCAGACACACAGCCTCTGCCTCTGCCTCCAGCTCCGCTGGCTGCTCGATTGTCTCTGCAGCCACCGCTCTGACCTGTAGCTGCCTGGAGCAGCTTCGCAGTGGAGAAGGGCTGGTGGGTTTGGGGGTGGGGGAGTATTAGGAGGGATGAGGGGACGTGATACGCACTGCCCTTCTCCAAAGGCGGATGCCCAGACATGCCCCCAGCCCCTGGGCAAGTCCCAGCGGGGGAGGGCGGCTGCACCGGCACTTCCTTGCCTTTGGGGTTCTCAGAGCCAGAGAGCGGTGCCAGCGGTGTCCGAGCGGCGCCTGCTGGGGGTGGAGGGAGTCGAAGCCTGGATGGATCTCCAGGACTCCTGGGGCTTGGCCTTGCCTCTTCCAGGCTCGGGAGGGGGCCTGGACACACCCGGGGGCGCCGGTCTGCGGAGGCCGCAACCTCGAAAGGGCCCCACCCCACCTCTTGGGTCGCTGAACCGCGGGGAAGAAGGGACCCCGGTGCTCCCACTGCCAGGCGGTCCAGAGAGCCAAGATCAAAGAGATTAAAAAAATCAGCTCTCACTCACAGGGTTGAGGGGAAGATTTTACAGTGTAATTTACATTAAAGCACTTAAAAATTTTGTAACTGGCCCTGTAAATGTAAGGTAATAAAAGTTATTATTTTTATGATCATCATAAAATCTTCCAGCAGGCAGGGACCTCAGAGGTCGTCCTATTCTAGTAGCCATTTAACAGATGGGAAAACTGAGGTCCAGGGGCCGTTAAATGACTTGCCCAAGGCTGCTAGGTGACCTGGCGCCAGAGTGAGGAATGGGACCAGGTGGTTCTAAGACCCTGTCTCCCTGGAACTAGGAGCATCTGCAGCTGGGTGGGCTTGCCGGTCCCAACAGGACTGTGAGGCTGGCAGATTAGGAAGGGGTTGTGGTCTGCCCTCGACACATCACAGATTTGCTCTGAGATGCCCGTGGGATTACTAACCGAAAGCCAGGAGACAGGGAGGGCTCTGAGGGCTGTCAGCCTCTGTTTGGACCCTTCTACCTTAATTACTGCACAGACTCCAGCAATGGCATGATTTCCCTGGGCAGGGGGCTCACTAGTTCTTGTCCCATCCAGGACCAGACCCGCAAGGAGTCCCCAGGGCACCTGAAGGTCCTTCCTTCCAGATCATCAAGTCTCTTCCATGCCCCACCTCCACACCTGTCCCATCCACCTGAGGCCAAGATTCCACCCGTCCTGCTGAAGGGAAGGCCAGGCCACCTCCCGTCCCTGTGTTTCCTGTGGGAAGGGTGCGCCCCTGTCAGAAGCCATGAAGATCTCTTTGATTGATTCACTCCCTCTCCTGCTTCTCTTGTTTGCTGCCTTTTTGAGTGTGGCTGCCCAGGTCCCCTGCTGCTCCGTTTGTCTGCTCTGGCTCCGAGAGAGTGTTTTCCAGCGTCGTCAGGTACTTTCCTCCATTTGTCTCCTGGGCAGCAAACCGTGCAGGGGATTGTGGGAACTTGGTCTTGGCTGAGGCTTGGAGGCAATGCTGGGTTCAGGTGTTAGGGGGACAGGTTGGGTGGGATGGGGTGGGGGGCCTCTCTTATCTGCTTTGGGGTTAGAGAGCAGAGTTTCTCCTTTGCTTCTCCTTGCCGTGACCTTTGGGGTGGTTGAAGCCACTGGCAATCTTTGTCACTTCTGAGCCCCTGAGACCCATTCTCCAGTCATGACAGAGTGAGGGACCAAGCAGCGTTCCTCTCTTGGGACAAATCTCACATTTGCCACCGCTGGATGTTATCTAGACTTAGCCTCATTTTTGTCATGTGCTGGACCTGGCGGCACCACCTGCTTATACCAAAAGCCATCGTTGGACCATTTCCTTCCGAAACTCAGCGTCGCAAGATTCACACTCCTTTCCCAAACTAAGTGCAGTGCTGTTGTAGAAAGAGCAGAGTTGGCGTGAGGATTAGAGGTGTTCAGGGGAGGCCCCACAAGTGCCCGGCACTTAGATGGTGCTTAATACAGAGTAATTGTTGTTATTATGTTGCTATTATGACTACTTTTACTCTATAAGCCAAAGGACTGTGATGAGCAGTTCCCGGCCACCCACTGAAAACCATTGAATGCCTTTCCCTCGTCCTTCCTTCCTTGGCTGCATCACTGTGTCTCCCAGTGGCCCTCCAGTGGTCTCAGGCTGCACTCCCAGGCACCTGATTGGAAAGGTCTGGGTGGGCCTGGATGTCTGCATTTTAACAAGCGCCTCGCAAGATTTTTCATGTGCCATGAAGCTTGATTACTGCTGGAGGACATCCTGAGGAGGCAAGAGGCTGGAAGGAGGGCAGCCGCAGCCCAGCCAGCTGGTCCAGAAGGTTCTTTCAGGAGAACAGGGCCTGGAGGAGGAACAAAAGGGGGTCTGAGCCGAGTGAAGCAGGCAGCAGGGAAACCCTGAGTGAGGGCTGGGAGGCCCAGCCCCGGAGGTTCCTGCAGGCTCCAAAGGGAGAAAGTTTAGTGCTGAGAGCTAATCACCACAAAAGCCAAACAGCACACGCGGGAGTGGGATGAAAGTTTAATTACATGGTGTGGCTAAGCTGTAATTATTAATTACTGACAGCAAAAAATAACTTATTGATCAGGGCCTCTTGCTAATTACCACAAGGCTGAGTGTCACGCTTGCCGGAGGCTCTCAGCTGATACGTGTCAAAGTCCCACACAGGAGTGGCCAGGGGCACCCCTGCTCCCTATGTCCCCTTCTCCCATGGCCAGAGAGGTGGCTCTCTGCCCCACACCCCCTCTCCCTCGACCTGTGTGCCCCTTGGCTTCTGCTGGGGAGTCTGGAACATTCTGGCTGTGGTTAGATGAGTGACAGTTTGGTGCTCCTATTGGCTGCCCCTGCCTGGGACAAACAGACCCAGGACCCCCACCCAGAGGCCGAATCACGCTGGCAGCCTGACACCTGCCTCGTGCATTTGTTCCGCAAATATTTATCGACCGCCTCTCCCTTATGTCCTCTGCTGGAAGGCCAGAGTAGGGGCTAGAAACCTTGTTCTATCAGGGAAGGAAGGCTGGGAAAGAGGCCAAATCCTTTACAGCGTTTCTCTGTTTAAACAGTGCCTGAACAGCCGACTTTGAAATGATGTGTTAAACGGCATATTGGTATGCATTTGACTTTGTAACACAGGACACAATTGGGCTGTAAGCTAAATGGTAAGGGAGAATGAACTTGTTCTCCGTCCTGAGGACTAGCATGAATCAGTGCATTTGACTTGAAAGAAACATGAAAAGTCATCTAGTGCTGTCCTCTGTCCATAAACCTGGGACAAGTGGCCATCTGGTCTCTGCTTGCATGCTCCTGGTGATGGAGGACTCACTACCTTACAAAACAAGCGAGTTGTTAGACAACTGTGCTTTATGTTCATGAAGAAATTGGCCTCCCTGTGGCTGGTTATCCTAGGATTCGGCTGTGGTTGAAGGAGTCCTCTGATTGGCTGGAGCGCCCCCTCCCCGTCCCTCCGACTGCAGCCCCTCGGGGAGTCAGGAGACTGAGTTGGAATTGATGTTGGGTGTTACATCTGCCTGTGGGATTTCCACCCTGGTTCCCCCTGGAGCACATTGCCGCAGACGGCCCTGGAGCTGCCTAAAGTGGTGAGAATTAGTCATCATAATTTGAGGCCTTGGGATGCCAATAGCAACAAATGGTCCAGGAGCGACTGCCGGCAGCGGCCTCGCTGCCTGTAATGGAAAGGAAAACAAGCCTCGTGGCTGAGACATCCCGGATGCTCCTTGTCGTCCCACCCGCTGCTGTCCACACGTCGGCCAGAAGGCAGGGCCAGTGAGCGGTGCTGAACAAGGGGCTGTCTGGGGCTGCTCAGGGTCCTGGGGGGCAGGGACGGGCTGCACAGCTCAGCTCAGCTCATCAGACTCCTCGGGCCAGGTGTCTGGTTCAGGAAGCCCCTCTCTGAGCCCGGGGAGCCCTGCCGAGGCGCCTCTCTTTCAGATATTGGGGGTACCCACATGGTGGACTCCTCCCAGCCTGGGCCCTGGCCCCTGCCTCCACCTCTGAGCGACCCTGAGCTGAGGCTCAGTATTCTCACCTGTACAGTGAGGAGACAGTTGAAAGTAGCTGTGTCTACCTCATAGGGTTTTTTTGGATGTTAAACAACATTATCCCAACCACTTGAAAAATGCTCTTAACACAGGTCAGGTGCTTATAATGTGTTGGCCTCAAGGTGTGAGCATGTCACAACCCCACCCCCTCGCTCCCGCGCACCAGCCTCCCCTCCAGCCTAGTCTTCACTCTCTCCGGCCACCACGCTGACCGCCTCTCTGTTCCCAGAACTCACCAGGCACGCCCCG